ACAAACGATTAGCCAACAAAAGACTGAATTCCTCAGTAGCCACAGCCTATTCTGAAGCTAAGTTTGTTCCAATTTATCGGACAGCATGCTCTTTGGTGCAATCAAAAGTCGACAGATACCGTTCTCATGTTAACTCTAACTGTGTATACAAATTTACATGTAATTGCGGTAGCAGTTACATTCGGAGAACAGAAAGAAGGCCATACCTCTGTTTTTTTATGGACATGTACCAGAAAGTCTACGTCTCATGGGAGAAAAGCTGACAACAGTACCATTTCCAGACATTGTATCAATAAGGGTCATGAGGTGGACACCGTAAAATCGTTTAAAATTATCAACAGACAAGATAGTTCAGTTCCCCTCAGGTTCGCTAAAGCAATCGCTATCAAACGCCTGAAAATCGATTTATGCGTTCAAAAAGAAGCAGTTATCAGTCTTTCCTTATCCTGGTAACTGGATGTCTTTATTCCCTCTTCCATTTGGCTGTATCCTCATATCCGTTGGCATAATGCGACTGTCCTTGACTCCTAATACTATGATTTGAGTAGAACTCACTATACTGTCACTCAGTTTATCAATTACTTGTCATCTTACTCACCTCTTGTGTTTATCATGTAACTCCTCTGCCACTGTGTGCAAACACGGATTTTTGTTTGAACTTGAACTCTCTGGGTATAAACTTTATATGTGTAATTTTCTGAGCAACGTTTATTAATTTAGGAACCTGCTGTCAGTTGATATCATGTAACATTAGCAAGTATGTTAAGGCTGTTCTGCATATAAACTTAATAATTTCTTTAGGCTATAGGCAGCTGATGAGAAGCCAACGAAGTAAATTATGGTATAATCTTATTCCACACAAACTGCTGATTTTACTTTATTCAAATTCATAAAGTGACTGACAAATTAAATCATCACAAAAGCTCTTATATAACTCCATTCAAAACTGACAACCTATGTGTATAAAGAAATATGGACATGTTTTAGTCAGTTTGTGTTTTGTATTATTTCATCATTTCTTACATTCCAGATTTGCTTTATTACTTTAATTGTTCACAACCCTGGATAGCATGACAATGCGAAAGAGGACATTTCTAGAAACAATGTACGCAGCTTGATGATCATCCTATGCTTGCTATATGAATGTGGATCACGTTGAATATGAAGCATAAGTGCGAAAAGAAAAAGCAGCATTATCAAACTTGGGCTGTGAAACTTCAGTAGCTCTTGTGTTGTTTATGCGGGATGAAGTTGCTAGGCTGACACTCAATCCTCTCTTTTCTCTGGTTTTACTACCGGCTAGGTAGAATTAAGGAATATGTCTGCCGAGAGTCGAACTCTGGAATAAGCGATGTTGGGTCAACAAAATATCATAAAATCGGGACTGTGTTCATTTAAATAAATGAAATGATAACTCGCTGAATGTCTTCATGGTCAGGCATTTTAAGTTAAAGAGGACAATTTCATGAGAGATTAACCTGTATATATTTTAATTTCCACGAAATGTCTATTGTGTTTATCTATTACCTGCAATGGTTTTACTCCGTGACTCAATAATTATAATCAATATCAAAATGAAACCGAAACAATAAATGATACTCAGATAATAAATTACACTTATAAGGAATAATGAGTTATCAGTCGTTAGAGTTACTCAGCCCATTGTCCACAAATTTAATGATAAAAACCAAAGATCTGCACGTAATATATTTCAATAATTCTTCTTCCCTGAAGGTTTACTGAACTGGTCGCAGAATCTTCTCTGGAAGAGGATGTGAGTTTCCTGTAAATTCCGAAAGATGCATTCAGTAAGTATATTGGCGACAAGGCAGCCAAGTAGAAAGAGAACACTGTGTGCGAGCTAGCACGTGCATATATTTTACTTCCCACGTACAGAAGTGAATTTTCAAAAACTTGAACGAGGGATATACACAATGTTCTGACAGGGAAGAATGTCTTTTTTTAAACTTGTAACAAGAACTGTACAGAAGCATCTTTCTAGTGTCTACAACTTTCCCAAATGCTACTTTAGCTAAACGTAACAATCTATATCTAAATAAATATAATTATGTTTGTACAGTGGGGAAATAATCAAATAATCATTTTGTTTTTTTATGTTCTATTCCTTCAGATGAAAATCCATTATACTTATGTATATTAGTATCGCCTTACTCAATGAGAAGTAATAAGCATAGAAGACATCCACACTGGTTTACTATTCAATCCGAGGAATATTGGTTTCTCATACCACAGGGAAAGTGAGTTGTTGGCTGTTATTATCCTTAATTGACCCTTCAAAACTCACCATGTGTTGTTTGACTTTGTCATGTCTATTTTTCAATGAATAGATCGATACCCAACGTCTAAACGAGATACACAGCTGTGTAACTGTAGTCAGCAAACAGCCTTGAACAATGTGGTCTAGTATATATAACTGAACCTGTTGGCTTTGTTGAAAGTGTCAGACACTTGTGACAGTCATCCAAAACTGATAAGCTTTTTGTAATGTTCATTGTGTTTGAAAGTGAAGTTTTACAGAATTTTTTTACGCAATGTTACTTATCTTCATACAGAACTACCAACTTATTAGCATAATTAATTGAGCACTGAATTCATTAGCTATGTTTGATCACTTCTCCATCCCCATTGATTATTGTAAACAGACATGTTTGACAATCAAGTCTATAATTGCTTGGCAGTAATTTATGGACAAAATGCTCCGGTAAATTATGTATATAACATCGAAGTAAGATGATTGCATGTTATTTCAGAAATAGCATAATTTTTTTCTGTTTTCTGTCAAATACCTTGTTTTTGTATTTAAGGATACTGTTGTATTTCATGAGACAAGGTAAATTTTAGAATACTCATTTTCTTTTTCTTTTTTTACTTCATTGATTTCATATATATCATGTCTGTGAACCAACTAGGTACAATTAATGTTTAATGTCAAAATGTTGTTTTGGAAAACATTGTAGTCCTAGTTGTTTCACACACACCACGCCGTCCCAAACAGTGAACTCGAATAAGGTAGAATACAATTGTGGGCTGTTAGCTTACCAATGTAATCTACAGAAATGTTGTGTTTTTTTGTATATGCATATATCACTTTCGGTTTCCGAACTGTTTCGGTAGAGTTGTTTTTTATTGGTTTTAGAAGCGGTTTTTAGACGAAATTTCATGAACGAAAAAAATAGATGGTTGGGGGTGGGGAGAAGGACGTTTCAAACACAAAACACTTATTTATTCACCGCCATGAATACTTTTGAAAATTTGCAACAGTTTTGCGGATGTGGCACATTACTCTTGGGATTCAGAAGACAAAAAAATGTTCGTGTAGATAAACTAGTCGAGTATAAATTTATGACTAGGAAACACTTAATTCTTTGGAGAGAAAGAAATATTTCGATTATCTATCTTAGCTGCAAACAGATGATTCTTTTTTTATTTATTTTAGGATTTTTCAATGACATCTATTTCTAAATAGAGTGTTCCAGTTTCTTTTATTGACTTGCATTGCGAATGGAAGTTTCAGTAGCATTGGTGTTTTTACAGGATGAGATTGCTAGCCTGACAGCTAGCCTTCCTGCTTCACGGAGTTTACTACTGGTTAAGCGCGATTTTGGAATGCAACAGTGGGGAATTGAACCTTGGACCACTTACACGATTGGTGGTCATTCTATCACTCAATCACCGATGCATCTTTTTTCTTCCTTCACGTTCCCCAGTGGAACATAGGGCTTCAAGCTAGTGGCTTAAAGTTTCTGTAGTAGTGTTTATTTTACAGGATGAGGTTGCTAGCCTCATGTCCAACCTTTCCTCTTCACCAGCATTATTTTTGGCTTAGCGAGGTAAAGGAGTTCGTCGGCCGGGGATCGAACCCCGGACCATGTGCATGGTCAGCGAGCGTCCTAACCGCTATGCCACCGACGCACAAAGAGTGCATCAATATGGAATTAATTTCATGCAATACTGGCCCTTTGTAAATCGAAACCGCATAGAAAAATAGCATTTAAGAGAATAATCTAAGTCTACTCAACTTATACGTTTATCATCAAATGCTAGAGAATATAAACATTGAGTGTATATCAGTTTGTTTGGAGAAATGAAATTGTTATTAGAATTACTCCCTTGGGTTTCAAGTGGATTATGGGGCTTCAACAGCACATCTCCACTTTTTCCTATTTTCTACTTCCCTCTTCCCCTGGGTCCACAATTGCCCATCATTTCTCATCTCCTCCTCGCACGATCTCCTTCATGCCACCCTAGGATAACTCACTGGTCTCTTCCCATTAGGATTCTCCTCTAGCCATGGCCTGGCACGCGATGTCATTCGATGGGCTACTCAGCGTATGCCCAATCCATCTCCACTTTCTCCTAATTATTTGTTTAATATCCACTTGATAGTTTAACTTCTAAATAGTATTCCTACAGTTATCAAACTGCATAAGAATTCGCCATTAATGTAACATAATGTAGTTTCAACGCACAACTTTGCACGAAACTGCAGCAGTTCACGTTGCCACATTTCATAAGCGCATAAATGTAGAGGAGAAAAGATAGTCGCAAAGGGGATATTCAAACAATAAGGTATGACTTTATCAGTACATAAGCAAGCTAATTAAACTGCACCAAGGATTGATAATTTATGTCTCAGATCTGTAGAAATTGAGCAGTGAAAATGAACTATGAACTTTACCTGTTAACCAAAGATTGTTATCAAAATCTATCACCATAAGGATTTCTTCTTAAACTGGTCAAGCCTTCACATTTATGGATGCTGTTGTCATAGTCACAGAAGACGACTTACCAATGTTTCTAACTAAATAAATCAATGAAATTATTCTGATTTTGAAATTTAAATAGTCTCTTACTTCATTAATTTTAGTCTCTGATATCTTAGAGACTGACTTTATATAATTGTAACATATTATAACTTAGAAATAATATTAATCCACAGTTTTTGCTTAATGTTTTTTTTATCCATTTAAATTATTTAGAGCGCAAATTCTATTCGACTTTCTCCTGACTTGTCAGTTTCATGGATATGAAGATGATTCAAACAATGAAGAGCACTTCACCGATATTGAAAGTAGTCGAGTGTCAATTAAAAGTATTGATACCAAAAATAAGGATAATACTAAGAAGATGAACATTGAAACGCTGCATTCAAAGTCACTAGGAAATCTAAGTTTTCTTAAACATTCCCTTAACAGCCCAAAATCAACTGGTTCTCCGGGTGTGGGTGATATGGAGAGTGATAATTTTAGTAAATTGGATAAACTACTCCATCATCATCATCATAATCATAATCAAAAGTCGAATCATCGACGACACAGTCATTATCATCATTTTGTTATTGTCCCAAAAACATTTGACTGGATATTACCACGTATCGGTTGTTCAGATGATCGTTCACGTGCTTTAATGACTCTCAGAAATTATAAACAAAAGCGTGTACAAAGCTCTAAAGACTTTTCCGTAACAGTAACTGATAATGATAATCCCACTGAGCGAAGTGAAACTAAAGTAGATTCAAAGGAATCAAGTAAAACACAACAATCACTAAATCGTTCTTCTCTAAAGGTTACAACATCAAGTCATGAAAGGATAAGAGAATGTCACAGTGTACCATCAATGGAAGAGGAGAAGTCTGCCATAAGAATACTAAAAGAAGAGTCTATTGATTGGGAGGTAAGCTGTTTTTTTTACCCTATCACATAATGTTGTAGACAATTTTGTATAAAAGTTATGGGAATTTAAATATGCTTAAGATTTTGTCTTAGTCTGTGATAATCAATACTAATTCGCTCATAAGTGCAAGAAAACAGCTAACTGCTTATGACTGACAGCTCACTATCAGGTGAAATCTAAAATAACATAGTTGTTTTCGTTGTTAACAACAAATAATACTGGAGATCACTTCTCTTCCTGGTATTAGACTGATCACATCTTCCCCCTTTTGTGTATGGTGGTGTTAAATGTTTATTACACTTGTTAGCTACAGACATGCCTTTACAAGACAAGAAACAGCTGAAGTCACAGAATAATTTGCAGATGTTACAAAGTTTACTGTGTTAGTTTAGTAGTATTGTCGTTCCCTTGAGTTCCGAGTGGAATATCCAGCTTCAACGGCCTATCTTCACTTCATCCTGTTCTCTGCAGTCGTTTTCAGCTGGATCCACGATTACCCATAAGCTTTCATCTCACCCTCCCACATAATCTCCCCCATGTCACCATCAAATACACGGCCAACTTGTCGCTTCTATTCGGGTTTCATTGTAGGGCATGGCGCGAAATAGCACTCAGTGGTCTCCCCAAGATGTGTCTAGTGTACCTCCATTTCCTCTGGCATATTTTTAGGTGATAGGTTTCCGGTGGATTCATTCAAAGAGTCGCTTGTTGATAATCCCTCCTCATCGGCCATCTGATCTTCAGTATTGATCCCAAAAAGGCAGCTGTTGATAAACATTGTTCTAAAGCCAGTCATCAAAATAATAAAGTGTTTTTTCTTAACTCCAACGAACCACTTATCTTGAAACGTGTCCAAAACTGATTGCTGCCAATATCAATGGAACATTGTTTACAATTGAAATTGTAGGTTAGACATATCACCACCAGACATTATGAAATATGAAGAAGAAGCTTATTCATCACTGTCACCAGTCAAAAAGTTCCTTTTCTTCAAAAATCTTCCTCACCTAACTCATGTCACTAGATACTTTGTTAAATACCTCAAATAAGTTGAAAAAAGAACACATACTTTTTAGTTAATGCCTAGCTGAGGCCAATGAAAATGTAATTCATTTATCGGCTTAAGGATAACTGACATCATTTCAACAATCATATAAAACCAGGAAGGAATATGCAGCTGTTTCGTTTCAGTTTGGACCTATTCAACACTAAGGACAGTTGATCCTAACACTCACCAAAACCAGAACCTCCAAGGCAATAAAGTTGCTATATAACCACTGGATGGAAATTAGGCGATTCATAAATCTCGACTTCTAATGTCTTCTGTGAAGATCTATCCCTGCAACTCATTTGGTGGACCACCTCAGTGACAGTCTCTTATTAATCAGTCAATTATCAAAACTCTGATGATGGAAAAGTGCTTGCTGATGAAGAGTCCTCAAATGTGGCATAACAGTTATCTAATATCCTACGGTTTTTAATGATTCCCTCGGTGATATCCGTTCGTGACTAAATCTGCCATGAAAATATATTAACTGTTAATTTCAAATCGAATCTGAGTACATCTCAATAGTGAGACTAACGTAACACTGCAGAATAGTAGGAGTAGTCAAACTTTCTCTTCTGACTCAGTACAACTAAACGCATCTTGGAATGTACTACTGACTTTTATGAGTAGTTTGAAAATCACCAAAGTCGTCCAGTAGTATGTGTGTGTGAGCCACAACCGAATGCCCACTTGAATGGGACAGAGCTAATCAGTAATTCTCCGTTACTTGAGAAGTATTCTAAATACCTTGATTTACACTCTTGCATAGTCCCTGACTGAATCCAGAATAGATTCGTGGGATTTGCAGCATAAATTACCTTTAAGATGAAAACGACGAAATGACTAATATTTTATTATTATTATTATTGTTTCCTTTAATTTCTAGAGGAAAATAGGGCTTCAGCCGTGCGTCTCCATTGCGTTCGGTTCTCTGCTAGAGTCTTCACCTGGCTCCAAGTCTGCCCACATGCTTTCATCTCCTCTTCACATGACCTCCTCCAAGTTACCCTTGCACTGACGACCAATTCGCTACTTCCCTTTCGGGTTCCACTCCAGCAATGGCTTGTCTAGTGATGTCACTTGATGGTTTCCTCAGAGTATGGCCAATCCATCTCCATTTCTTCCTGCCTATTTGTTTCACAATCGGTTCCTGGTTGGTTCGCTCATTGCCAGAGATCCCTGTTGCTGATCTTTTCTGACCAGCCATGTGATCTTGAGTATTGAGCGAAGACAACTGGCTGTTGATGAAGGTCTGTAGTTTGTTTGAGATGCTCTTTATGACGCGCTGGCCAAGTCTCTGATCCGTATAGTAGCACTGACTTCACATTGGAGTTGAAAATCCGGATCTTATTTCTCCACACAGACTTGAGAGTAGTGAAAGCTTGTCTTGCTTTTCCGATTCTTGCTTTGATATCCTTATCAGTTCCACCTGTAGTTGAAATGATGCCTCCCAGGTGAGTAAAGGAGGTTGTTTCTTTCAGATTCCTCCCATTTAGGCTGATCGCCGTCTGTTGTTGTTGTTGCTGTTGGTGTTGCCCAGGAATCTTCATCACCACTTCTTTCTCTATGTTCACCTGAAGTCCTATCTTCTCTGGATGCTTCTTCTGCCAACTTGTTGCTTTTCACTTGCATATCTTCCAGTTTGTGGGAAATCAGACATATATCATCGGCGAAGTCCAAATCCTCCAAGTTTTTTGTGTGGGTCCATTTTATACCTGTTTCCTCATTGCCTGCTGTCTGTCGTATTATTATACAGTCTACCGCCGGAAATCAGGAAAATCATTGGCGATAGTAGGCAGCCAGCTTGTCTTACTCCTGTCTTTACTTCGAAGGATTGCTTGAGTGTCTCGTTGTGGATTACTTGGCATGCAGCATTGTCGTACAACTGTTGGATGAGATGTATAATTGTCGGTGGCACCCCGTAGTAGCGAAGTAGTTTCCAAATCACCTCTCGATCGACGCTGTCGAATGCCTTTTCAAAGTCGATAAAGTTGAGACAGAGGGGTGACTGCCATTCCAAGCTTTGTTCAATGATGATCCGTAATGTGGCGATCTGATCTAATATTTTAACGATATGACAAATGAAAACTTGTACTACGTTCTAATGAGTTGTGAATAATCTCCCAGTGAAAGATAAAACATTCATTTCATTTGACACTTAACTTGTTCATAAGGTATTTGCATATGGTTTTTCTATCTTTTACCACCAAAACAATCTCTATGTATGTTTCTGAGTAATTTATACATATTTTTATTTTGTGAACCCAAAATCCTGTTCAGTGGTTAAAGTCTTCATTTCGTTCTGTACGGGAGAATTTAAACAAATTGGTAAGATTGGTCACACATAAACACACACACACAACACAAATTATGCACATGCATTGATTGCATTCAATGATGTTTTGCTTGATTGCTCTGATTTTAAAAATATAAATTAAATTGAAAATATTGGTGACGGAGATAAATTTCTTGTTTGCTGTGTGAATTACTTACCAATATTTACTGATTTTCTGTTTGCTGAATATCACACATCTACTTTATAAACTAAAAGTTTTTTAATAATTTGCAGACTTTTAACTTTCGGATTTTGCTATTCACATCGGCATTTCATTGACAGATTTACGCTTTATGTTTTGAAAATGATTTGTCAATGAAAATCTCTTTGTAACGCAGTCTCTTCAAATCAAATGAATTTCCCGCTTCTTGTAACATTTTAAATTAGGATAGTGACATCCGACTCATATTTTTTAGGTGTAGACGAGGTATGCATACCAGTCGAATGCTTCGGTTGAATAAGGGTATGTGAATAACAATCTAACGGATAGGACGTTAAAGGGACACACGCCTAAGTGTACACAAACGCCAAGATGCAAGATTCGTGTTTGTTGTCACAGTGACGGATACTTTTGAGTTAAGACGAACTTTTAAATCTCTGCTCAAAAAAACCGATTTCTCAGTTTACTTTAAAACAAAAGAACTGAGGGAGTTAGTTACTTACCCTAAGCAACCTGATCCATGATCGGTTATAGATTTGTAGGAGATATTAATACCTAACCTTGATTTCTGATAAATGGGAGTTTTTCTTTGCACATAACTTTGTTACTGTTGACTACAACTCAATATTTATCAACATATAATTTGAGTTATACTAACCATAATTATATGTTCTTTCTATTTCATTTCTTATATTACTTTATATTAACGAGCTGGTTAACTCATACATTACCTGTTTTAACTTATTGACAAAACATTTTTCTTTTGAGTTTACAAATGGTCGAAAAAATGTATTTCTTTCAATTCTGTCAAAGTCACCTACTAATATTATTGATATTGGACAAAATTTAACTTGACCTAAAAGACTTTAAATCGATAATGAAGTTAAATATATACATATATTTTTTATTATGACTATGTGTCGTTAGATTGATTTTTATCCTGTCATTATTTTAAAGTGAATTAATAAGTGTGGCATTGTAAAAAGTGTACACTGTCCATTTCACTTTCATTTAATATTTTGTTCCACCCAAGTGCCTCAACAGGGAGCCAGCTATTACAGAGGAGTCTTTTCATTTAGTTAAATCATAGTGGTTAAGTTGTGGGATGCTTTTTAACCAGCTACCTGGTGTGTGTTCGATTCCAGGTCGACTTACTCCTAAACTCCGCCTAGTCAGTAGTAAGACCGGAAAAGAGAGAAGGATGGGCTTGGGGCTAGCAAACCCATCCCCGTATAACAAACACTCCTGCTACTGAAGTCTGCGTAACTGAAGAAACTTTGTCTAGAAAGAAAATGTAAGCTTTGCAGAAATGAACCATCCAGAGAGAACCATTCAGAGAATACAACTGCACCTAAATAATCCATTAAAGTAGACTGTATGATAAGTATCACACTACTGACAACACCAATTGTTTAATCTTCTCGATGTTTAATCACAGGGTTACATTAAGACATAAATTTATTCGTCTGTTTCTTTTAATTTGATCGACTGACTGCTTTCAATGCAGAAGTTTGCACAGATGTGCAGCAGTTCGAGTTACCACACTCCATGTAGTGGCAATCTACTAATTTTCAACAACAATTATGATAATAATAATAATAATGGCTGTTTGGTGAAACAGAATACAGTTGTATAAGGCATACGGCTGTTCTGATTGAATCAGATGAGATGTTCACATTTATCCTGCAATAAACAACTAATGAGTCAATAAGTTTCAGCCTATTTGCCTGGGTAGAACGGAGGCGATCAATCATCGTTAGAATTTCCTTGGGTAGTTGGTCTTATATGATTTTGTATTACGTACTTAAAGGAATGCTGTAATCAAATTCGATATTATGTTTGTCTGTGTGAAAGGTGTTTTATCAACTTTTTTACATAGCTGGAATATATATTGTGACGTTTATTATACTGTGCGCGAAAACGTGTTGCGACTGCTTTTATCCTGAACCATAAAGAACTTCATCACATTTTCCTTACTTTTAATAAAAGTGTTATTCATGAGTAAGTGAAGGTCCTCTGACACTCGTAATACCCTCATTTTATTGTAATAATTGAGCTTTATTTCCACTTATTTTGTTGACAATTAACTTCAACTTTCTAATTAGACAACTAATTATATCCAAGGTATATCTGACTTTGGGGGTTTAAACTGTGATCTTCATACTAACCCATGACTGACACCTAATCAAATTAATCAGTGTGAAATTAGATTGCATACTGAAAGTCAGCAAATCAATTTTCATCTGCTGATTTGTAATAGTATATGAATTTAAGTCGCATCATATTTTAACTAACTCTCATAGTAGATATAAGGTGAGGACAAAAGCTATCGCGAGGTATTTTTCCACATAGTATAGCAAATGCTACTATATATATTCCAACTGTGTAAAAAGGTCAATATAGCACCTTTGGAAGAGCCAAATGATATGATTACAGCATCCCTCTAGACAGGTAATACAAAATCAACTACCTGAGGGAATTCAAGGCGTAACTGATTGTCTCCGTTCTACCTCTACAAGTATACTGAGACGAAATCTCGGCAGGTTTGATTTCTGATAAATTATATCCTCATCCACGTTCTATCTCCCGCGTGAAGTGGTATAATAAGGTGAGCAATATTGAGGTTAGGCGTCGAGTGCTAGATATGGTGGGGAAATCAATCGACGAGACTGTGAAATTACATCGACTGAGATGGTTAGGACATGTGCTACGTATGCCTGGTCATCGCCTTCCTCGACGGGCAATGTTAGCTGATATAGGGCCAGTCTGGAAAAGAGCTAGCGGCGGTCAAACGAAAACATGGCACCAGTCAATGAAATCCACAACAGTTAGTCTAAGCCACGTAGGAAGGTGCAGACTTCCTGACTGGTTGGGGTCCTCGGGACGGTAAAAACCAATGGTTGGAAACAATTGGTGACATGGCTCAAAATCGTTCTCAATGGCTGGTGCAGATGCATCAACTCCTTGTGACTTATGATTTCCACTGAAACTATATTGTTCTTCGTTATTACTATACCTTTGTCTCACACCTCTGTATACTGTCTATATTATGCATTTCTTCTCTTGCTTTGTGTGCTACATGGAGTGTGGCGACTTGAACTGCCGCACATATGTGCAAAGTTCTATGTCGAAAACCGACCGACCATCCACGTCAGTGGTTCAGCAGACCACACTCATGGTGTCGAGTTCGATCCCCAACCGATGCACTCATAAATTCTAGCCGATGGTAGGCCCGTTAAAGAGATAATATTGGGCGTAAGGCTGGCAACCCAACCTCTTAAAATAAGAAAAAACATCACCACAGCTACTAATACTAAAAAGCTCAAAGCTTTACGTCCCATTGGGAATGCATAGGAACAGAATAAATATTAATGATGATATGTTTTCGCTGGTATGTATCATGTGAATATTACACCTGTGAACGTTAATCTGAGTGTTATTATTATTACATTTTTCTGAGCTTTGAAGTTTCTGTAGAGCCTGGATTGATTTCGTGGGTTAGGGTCACTAGTCCCATGCCCAACCTTCCTACTTTAGACAGGTTAAATAAGCTAGTAGACTAAACCACCTCTTATTATCTACGGAGAGTTATTTATCGATCTCGTTAAATTTTCTCGTTAACTTCAGTTTCCTGGATAGTATAAAGAAGGAAAACAAGGGTGTTTGATTCTCTTTCCACTTTTCTTGAAAGATGAAAATTCTTTTGGTGTGCTTTTTTTCAAAAAAAATCTTTTAGGTTATTTTAATCAAATAACTAATACTTGAGTTAATCTATAAAAGTATCCCAATGATTGTTTTAACTTATTGAAAGAACAAACTTCACTCTCTTACCTTTTGATTGTATTATACTCTCCAACAATAACAACAAAACCTAACAGACATCGCTTTTTTTCAAATCTTAGCAATATTGGTGAGTGTAATGGGACAAAATAAAATGAAGTCTTGAAACCCTTTTGTCTTCATAGGCTTAACTCAATTCATTTTCATGCTGAGCTGCAGGCATTCTATTATGTTTAGTGGAAATTAAAAACTAATATGTCCCTTTCATATGCTTTTATCCCAATAAGTAACTGTAATTTTACTGATGCTCTTATCAGTATAAATCGAGATTCTGAAGCTTTTGGTGAGTCCCAATGAAAAAGCCATCACTTGCTGGGGATGCAGGTATATCTAGATGACGACTCTCAAATAGGACTCTGGACTCCAGTAATGGTCACTATAAACCAAAAATAACCCGATAACAGTCAGCTGACTGAAATTTTTAGAATAAATTAATAGTCATTATAATAAAAGTTTTTGTATTTCCCAATGAATGGAAAACAAAACGATATTGTTTTTACTGACGTTTCGCTATTTAATGCTGTTAATAGCTTTATCAAAGTATTATTAAACCAGAATTTACAAAATCTCAGCTTATATATAACAACTTAATCATCGTTCCTCAGCATGGGGCATTTTTGCGTTGTCAAGTTGGCCAGTTGGTAAAGATAACAAAACCAGGTGTATATTGTTGGATTTGATAAGTGTGTAAAATTATAAAAGCAGCGTGTGTTTACATAGTGAAATTGCTTATCACATTCGTGTTGATTTTGTCATTTCATGGGGGAGGGAGGTGTTGTAACCAGGTCAGATTCTGTTTTAGTCCATCATTTCTATTCAGACAATTTGGATTCCATTTGATAATGAAGTGCTTCTGATATTAGACGTACTTTATGATTTCTGAAATTTTTCTAGATGACGATTTCAATATTGTCAAAATCAATTTTGTGACCTGATTCTATAGCGTGTAGACTTACGGCTGATGATTTTTCAAGATTTTCTAGTTCAACTGGATTTTTCACTGGTCGAACAGATGCTCTACGGTGTTCATTTCTTCTGATTTTGATTTCTCATGATGTTTGTCTGATGTATATCGCATTACATTCCAAGCATTTTATTTTATAGATACAATTAGATGGAGAATCTTTAGGGATTTGGTCTTTTATATGGACCCAATGCCCAAATTTTTCAAACTGTTAAAAGTGAACTTGGTTTGGATATATATATATATATATCTTTAAATAGTCTGTTGAATAAACATGACTATTATGGTTAACCATTTTTCGGAAAACTTCTAGAATAACTGGGTCTAGATTCTGCAAATCCAAAATTTTTAATTCAAAAGAATTAGTCACCATTCAGAGTTTGCTTTTATTTATAAACTACTTATTAGTATCCAGTATTATTTATTAAAGTCTTCTACTGTTCATTTCTATTCAATAACACTGAATAGTTGGTTAGTTCAAAGGAAATGGAACTAAAGGAACAAGAGGAGAGAAGGCGAGCATATATGTCTGACTGTATAAAACTAGCAGAACCTGAGTCATTACCATTACCACCAGCGACATCCAACAGTGAAATCTTAGATGCTCAGAAAGTTCGTAATGTAAGTTTGTATCATTGATTGATTTTGTTTTAATTCTTGTATTTTGATTAGTGGTGTAATACAGCTGAAGATTACTTTATTGTGTATATTACTTTATTAGTAATTGGATATATCACCTGAACTTACCCCACAACAGATTCTCACTGAAGTAATAGATAGTACTTCTTCTAGACAATATCTTTACTTGTGAGGTAAATTTCGTGAACATGGAAAATAGAGGCCAGTGGATTTACTCACAAAGTAATGTTGTCAACAGTTGTCTATTTTCAGTCAGGAATACTGTTTTTAAGCATCAAACTTCAAGCACACCGTCATACAATTACGAATTAAAAGAAAATTCAATGAGAGAAGTATACTGATAAACTTAGAACAAATGACAATGGGGTTGGATTACAGATAAAAACTACTACATAGTCAGGTGTTTAAGAAATATTAAAACCGAATGCATTGCTCCACTTCAACCAGTTTCAATTCCTATCCCATAAATTCTTTCCCTATGAATGCTATCTGCTTCATAAATGTCAACTGAATGTTAGGCGGCTGCCGGAAACTGGCAGGAAGCCTTGGACCTAGGTTTTGTGCTTGTTGGCACTCACTGAAGAGGCGTGTCTACAACCACGAAGAAAATTATGTCCTTCTCGGGGATTTCAACTAGGCATTGAAGGTACTGCTTACTGATCGGGGTCTGAACTGCTAAGCGTCATAAATTCCCTGTCTTTCTACCGTTTCAGTTTCATTCTAATTGCTCTAGATAACATAAGATGGATAAGGGTGAGCATAGGCAACCTAATTTCCAGACTTCGAAACTTTTAATGTATTTTTTCCTTCACCCTAGATTGTAGTTTTTTACATTTTGGAACAGTCCGTGTAGAAATACAGTTAATATTCATTTTGCACTAATTTGTATAGCTTCAGGCTATTGCTTAATGGTGTGAGTACTCAATTTTCGATCAGCTCACTGTAAAATTAGAACCCTACAAAATACAACTTGTTAGTGAGGTTGTTTTGTTTGCCTAACGTTCTCAAAACTTTTTGTCAGTGCTGTTAACTCCCATTCGACCATTCAGCCAGGATGTAAATGAAAAGTCCTATCAAGCAGGATATTTCATTCCAAGCCACTATTAACTTGAAGTTGTCCCAGATAACTGGGAAAGCTTTAGCTACATCAGTAAACTCTGTTGGAATATTTGTAATTCTCGTTAATTATTTTTAATTCATCAAATAAATTTAATAACAGAAATATAATTAGATTTAACAAAATAATGTCATGTAGTGTGGTGTGGCCTGAATGAACACTACACAAAAATTAGTGAATGGTGAACTTTTCCATTAAAAGCCGATTTAGGCGAGAATCGATCAATAAAATGAAAAAGTACAAACTCAGCAAGTAGTAAGGTCAAGTTGCTTTGTAATTATAATTTCCCACAGTAAATCTCGGCCTAGAATGTATATATATATATATATTTGTCTAGATAAAAAAGAATACTTCAGATTTCAAAAATCCTAGTACTTAAAAATGAGGATATACTCTTGGTCGATATTTTGATAACTTTTCAAGTTTAATTACAAAACAGAACTTAACAGTCATAAACATGATCTGTTCATGTCATTAAAACAACTGATTCAAAAGAAGTTTGTGAGTATTCATGTGCTGAGTTTAAGAGTTCTGATGTGGTTGTGTTCTCTGAGCTGGATAGTTAATTTGCGAAGCTTTCATTGCCCTACTAGGCAACATCTTCAGCGCATACTTCAAATTGAAGTGTAAACATCAATAATAGTTGTTCTGTGATCTCGGTAACTAGGGTGTAATCAATGCCAAGTCAGTACTTCTGTATGGTTAGGGAAATTTAGCGCATCATTAAAAGCATTTCTAACAAGCTTTGGACTTTTATCAACAGCTGCCTTCGCTGGCTCCATACTTAAGATCAGATGGCCGTCCAGAAAGGATTATAAACATGGAACTCTGACAACAGACCAACCAAGAACCTGTTGCTCAACAGATATGCCTATGGGAATGGCAGTGGATTAGACACACATTGAAGAAACCGTTGAGTGACATCGTGCCAGGCCCTTGAGAGATGGTGTAAGGAGGAACCAGCTAGAGAGGATTGCAGAGAAGACGATGGAATAAAGATATGCTATTGAAACCCTATGTTCCACTCGGAACCTTAGGGAATAATAATATAACTAATGTCATGCGTGTAGTCCTCGGTGTTTGTGCACAGTGAATTCTGTCGGTCAAATTTACAATGTAAGGGGACATGAGTTCCTTCAAAGTAGCAGACACCCCTTACTGACGAGTACTGACAAGCACGAAACCCAGGTGGGGACTTTAGGGTGATGGCCCCCAAACATGGCCTACTACACGAAAACAAATTCGTTAATGATGGGTTTCATTTCTCGAGTAGTGCTTTGAAAGGAATTATGAGGCTAAGGATTTAATCCTTTCAAACAAAAGTGACTTGACATTATCTTTGCGCCTCATAGGCACAAAATATGCGTTCTTCATAGTAGAAATTGAAGGTTAATATAAACAAAGATTTGGAAGGAAACTACACGATAAGTTTTTTTCTGATGCTTTATTAATATTATTATTATTATGCAACAAAGTGTAAACTGTTTTCATATTATCATTATAAATTAATAATGAATTGCACTCATCTTCGTTTCACTAGCTTTTACAAAATTTAATCGCTGATGCTGAAGGTTTAGACTGGGTATTGACCTATAGTACTTCTTTGCATGGATTCAGTTTACGATCATTATATCGTCGGTGTGCAAATAGTTTAACAGAAGCTTCAGAGGATGATCTGCACAATTCAATACATTCCAAAATGAAACATACACGTGCACCCAGTTCACCGCATGCATCGAATCAACCGTGTATAATAACTATACGAACATCAAATAATGAAGTTAGTTTTAATTCTTTCCCCAACTTCATATATATGTGCATATATATATGATGCTTTCGGATATAACTGATTCTTTATAATTTTCAAGAGTGTTTTCATGATTCTTAGAAGTTATGATGTTGAAGCCTTATTATTCATCTAAATTATATAAACCAGTGGGTGTTTTTTGCCCAGTCGTCTTTAGGGGAATTGACATGTGTTCATCTGATTTTAATGCGTTTCAGTTTCAACCAGCTTCCAGATGACATGAATAAGTTTCGTTTACTTTTTGAATTCACTAAACCTTGAAAGAGCGTCAGCGTTGTTTTCTCATGATATTGACTACAGTTAATACATATAATTTTTAGTGTAGTCAAAACTAGAACTTGTCAAGTATTGGTTTTGTAGGGATTTTGTTTGATTGCATGGAGGATTTCATCATGAGCTGACATCAGTTAGAGAACCACTGGAAAACCTGGGAGTACTGGATGGCTGTTTCGTCCTAGTTTGGGACTCTTCATCAGTATACACCCACCGGGGTTCGAACCCAGGACCTTCTGGTTACAAGGCGAGCTCGTAGACCATTGAGCCACTGGGACCCGATTCAATGGTCCTTGAATTCTAACTTCTGCCAATTCACGACATAGCGCGACCATTTCGCAATGTCTTCTTCTATGAGTTACTGCCTCATCTTCAACCTGCTAGAACTCGTTTCATTTTAGGCTACTTATCTGACAGCCTAAAATACTCAAGACTTGAGAAAATAAACCTGAATGAGCTTTCACTATTCAAAATAGTAAACAATCAGTTTACAAAATTATAATGAGAAATCACTAGTGTCAGTAAGGTAGGAAGTAAGTGTGCCAGTGACTGTTATCATGGTTATAATATCCAAATGAAATTATTACTGGAGATAAGGAGTGCGTCGGTGGCACAGCGGTAGACTGCTCGCCAACCACGCAGGTGGTTCGGGGTTCGATCTCCGGCCAACGCACTCCTTTACCTCGCTAAGCCAGTAATAAGACTGGTAAAGAGGGAAAGTTGGGCACTAGGCTAGCAACCGCATCCCGTAAAAATAAACACCACTGCTACTGAAACTTCAAAGCTCTAGCTTGAAGCCCTATGTTCCACTGGGAACGTAAAGGAATAAATAAATAATATAAATAATAAATACTGGAGATAAGGATTTTTAACGCCCCTACAAGGTCTGGACTTCTTCGTCAGTCTAACTACACGAAAAAAATACCCCTTGTTTATAATCCATGCTTTTGTTTTACCAAAACTTCACCAATTTGATGGTTCCTCGAGTTTATGGACAACAAATGCAAATGAATTTAGAGAAAATTCATCCATTACATATACTGATTCCCAGTAAAATTACTTATCTGTCTTCTCGATAAAAGCACGTTCACGACAATAACTTGACGTCATACCGAAACATTTTTCAACGAAAATTTCCCCTCATTGACTAACACAGTCTAAATGCTTATTATCTCAGTCAAACTTCCTTGTTATTGGATGATTCTTCACTTTACTATACTTACTAGTGATTACAAAACCTGGGTCTAGGGCTTTCTTTCAAATACCTCCAAATGTCTAACTTATTTTATAATTTTATACCTTCGAATATTTATACATCAATATGGACCTACGGCATCAAAACAAATTCGTGAATTTGAATAAAGCAAGAACAACAGTTTGTGCAGAATAAGATGGTACCATCATTTATTTCGTTGGCTTTTCATCGGCTGCTTACAGCCTAAATAAATTATTTAGTTTATGCACTTATCGTCTTTATTACGTAACTCCTTTACCATTGTATGCATAAATTGGTTTTGTTTAAATTTGAACTCCTTGTGTAAAAACTATATAAGTGTAATTTTCTGAGCACTGTTCACTAATTTGGAAACCTCCTATCAACTGACATCATGTAAAATTTGCAAGTATGTTAAAACTGTTCTGCACATAAACTTAATAATTTCTTTAGGCTATAGGCAGCTGATGAGAAGCCAACGAAATAAATGATGGTACCATCTTATTCTGCACAAACCACTGTTGTTCTTGCTTTATTCAAATTCATAAAAGGGAATAAATGTTTTTATTTATCAAGTGCTTTAGTAGAGATCATGCTATTAGTGATTTAATTTTTTTCCATTCAAGTGCTTTTTTCATATAAGTGATTCAACATTATCATTCCGCCTCATAAGCATAAAATACGTGTTTTTCGTATTGGAAATTTAAATTACTTTTATCTAACTAACCTTCACAAGATAGCTTAAAATCATCACGACTTTGTATTTGAACAACATTCCTTATGATTTTAAGTTTTGTTTATCGCTTGTATTAGTTCTACTAATAATTTATACAGGACAAATTAATAGTGGGATATGTGTGATACATTTAAGTAGTTTCCGTAGTCAAACGGTTAAAACCTAAACATTGGTCAGAAAGCCATGACTGCCTTTTAATTTTACAGAAATTAAGCAAAACTATTATAAATTAGTTTATAAACCGATATCATTTAGAGAACCATTTAAAGCCAGAGAGCAGTGGGCAGCTGTTTCTTCCTTGTTTGGGACTCTTCAGCAATATGTTCTCATGACTCCACCAGAAACTGAACCTAGGACCTTAAGGTTACAAAGTGAGCTTGTCTAGCATTAGGCCATTGGGATGGAATCCATTAGTGCATGAATTTTAACTTCTACCAGTTAGTGATATTTAGCGTCACCGCCAGCTATTGTTATCAGGGAATACCTGTCCTGACGCCCGACTTGTTTGACGTGACTGGTCATGACATTTCACTAGAACTTCAGGCATCCTGTAGTGAGCATTCGATCGATTTTCAAGTATTGCTTTGCAGCGATTAGAGTAATTTGATTCACAATACATCACATCAATAAAGAGAAATACTAGATTATTTTGGTATTCAGAAAATTTTGACAAAATGAGACTTGCAGCTGTCTAATAGGTTACATTCTCGCGTATATAAAACAAATTAAAGAGAAGTCTTAATTCATCACCTTACTTTCACTTTTTCTTTATTTTAGAAATTCTTAAATGACTTGAACGGATATCTGTCTAATTTTTCAATTTAATCCATTGGAGAAAAAGCGATCCCATACTCATATTTTAGCAAATCTCTCTCTAATCAAATCAATTTAAATTTAACTTTATCTATGTAGTTTATGTTACACTAAAATGAATTAGAAACTTTTTCTTTTAGCGTGTAAATTGTTTTTACCACTTAACTTAAAGTAATTCATTAATTTCTAATAAATATTACTTAACTATCATATTTACAGGACGTGAACGTCAGTTTATGTTGTTATTATTATTAATTATTATTCCATTAGGTTCCAGTTGTAATATAGGGCTTGAACAACACGTCTGCACTTTGTCCTGATCTCTGAAGTCCTCTCCAGCTGGCCCTTTGATTGGCTACAGGCCTTCATCTTCTCCCCACACTATCTCTTCCGTGTCACCTTCGAATGTCCACTTGTTCGTTTCCCACTTAGGTTCCACTCGAAGGCCTAGAGTGAAATGTTACCGGACGATAGATATCCTCAGCATTTGTTCGATCCATCTCCACTTTCTTCAGCGTATTTGTTGGGGAATAGGTTCTTGATTGCTTCGTTCCCAGAGTTTCTTGTCGCTAATTCATTCTAGCTATCCGATCTTCAGAATAGGGTGAAGGCATCTGTTGGTAAAATTCTCAAACGCGTTGGAAATACTTTTCAAGACGCGTTTAGTTTCTGACCCATATAGAAGAAGTGACTTAACGTTGGTGTTGAAAATCCGAATTTTGTTCTTTATGCTGAATGAAGCAGATTTCTAAACTGCTTTCAAAGGGAAGAAGGTCTGTCTTGCCTTACTGCCTCTGTTTTTGAAATCCTCAACCTAGCCTTCTGAGGCTGAAAAAGTGCCGTCTACACTAATGAAGGCAGCGGCCACTTTCAGTTTGTATTATTACTTTATGCAATGCAGGTGTCCCGATTTCATAAGTGAACGTAATTGTCTGACTGTTTTGCTTGTTGTATCATTTTTGAAGAGTACTCATTAGCAGTGACAAACAGCATGTAACTGTCTTCAGGTAGTAGCATAACTCACTTATGTATGTTGTGAATTCTCTAACCATGTGACTCTTTTTCGGCTTTATTCAGTTCGACTGCTAGTGCGAAGGAAAAGCTGCATTCTGATAAACAAATAAACCTTTTACTGTGTGTTAATATGTCTAGTTGTCATGAAATATATAGTGATAAAGATAATAACGCTAATGATTTCAACTGTTTAACTACACTGACTAAGCAAGAGATAGACGAAATAACTTCTCCGCATTAAGAGTAAAATCATGAAATCGCAAACCTACTTTGCTCAACTAGAGATAGATCTAAAAGTCCATCTTTAAAACAAATTTCTTAGTTCCCAAAACAATCCCTATATTTATCTAACCTTAGTTCAAAAGTTAGGTTGACTAATACTACCATGCCGCCAGAACATTCTCAAAACAAGTATTGAGCGTAATGCATGCATGCAAAATGTCTGCCGGCTTCTATGCAAGATATTTTAAAGACCTCATGTTTTCATTTATTAATTGTTAGACGATCCCAGAGTAACTAAATTAGTTGTTATTGGTGGGAATTATGCCAACCATCTGGAGATGAAATTTTTTTCCTAATTCAGTGAAGATATTCATCATGGAGTCATTATAACCTAGTGTTAGTAGAACACTCAAATGGGTAAATGAATATTATTGTTATTATTTCCTTTAATTCCTAGAGGAACATAGGGCTTCAGCCGTGCGTCTCCATTGCGTTCTGTTCTCTGCTAGAGTCTTCACCTGGCTCCAAGTCTATCCACACGTTTTCATCTCCTCTTCACATGACCTCCTCCAAGTCACCCTTGCACTGACGACCAACTCGCCGCTTCCCTTCCGGGTTCCACTCGAGCAATGGCTTGTCTAGTGATGTCACTTGATGGTTTCCTCAGAGTATGGCCAATCCATCTCCATTTCTTCCTGCATATTTGTTTCACAATCTGTTCCTGGTTGGTTCACTCCCAGAGATCTCTGTTGCTGATCTTTTCTGACCAGCCATCTGATCTTGAGTATTGAGCGAAGACAACTGTTAATGAAGGTCTGTAGTTTGTTTGAGATGCTCTTTATGACGCGCAGTGCAAGTCTCTGATCCGTATAGTAGCACTGACTTCACATTGGAGTTTAAAATCCGGATGTTATTTTTGATGCTGAGTGCTGTTGACCTCCACACAGACTTGAGAGTAGTGAAAGCTTGTCTTGCTTTTCCGATTCTTGCTTTGATATCCTCGTCAGTTCCGTCTGCCTGTAGTTGAAACGATGCTTCCCAAGGTAGGTAGGTAAAGGAGGTTGTTTCTTTCAGATTTCTTCCATTTATGCTGATTGTTGTCTGTTGCTGTTGTTGCTGTTGGTGGTGTTGCCCAGGAATCTTCATCACCTCTGTTTTCTCTATGTTCACCTGAAGTCCTATCTTTGATGCTTCTTCTGCCAACTTGTTGCTTTTCACTTGCATATCTTCCAGTTTGTGGGAAATCAGACATATATCATCGGCGAAGTCCAGATCCTCCAAGTTTTTTGTGTGAGTCCATTTTATGCCTGTTTCCTCATTGCCCGCTGTTTGTCGCATTATCTAATCTACTGCAATCAGGAAAATCATTGGTGATAGTAGGCAGCCAGCTTGTCTTACTCCTGTCCTCACTTCGAAGGATTCCGTAAGTTTGCTGATGTGGATTACTTGGCATGCAGCATTGTCGTACAACTGTTGGATGAGATGTATAATTGTCGATGGCACCCCGTTGTAGCGAAGTAGTTGCCAAGGGTAAATGAATAATCGCATACTAATTAATGTTTGCATCGTTCAGGGACAGAATGCCCACCAGCCACACATGTCCTCCAGGTTTGATTCTCAGCCAATGCACTCATAAACCTCACTTAGCCTGTAGTAGTCCCACAAAAGAAGGAAAGATGAGCATCAGGCTAGCAACTCTACCTAGTAAAAACATCACCACTTCTAGTCGGAAATCGAATGAATGCAAACAAAAGTTAATGCTTGACTGTTCACTACACTACTGGATTATGTGAACTAGACAATTTAAACAAACAAAAAAGTGGATCTTTATCTGCAAACCCTTCAAAGTTTAGCTTATATTTCATTTTACAATGCTATTTGCGTGTTTGACAGTAAAATAATAGTTGTTGTTTTTTAAGTCAGTGAAATTTCTTTTTTTGCTGTTTTGAAATTCAACTGAATTTTTTTTTTGGATGTGACATGCATCAGATATGTCACAGCTCTTAACAAGCAGACAACAACAAAAAATGTCTAACATTCCCACCTCCTCATCGTTGTCATCATCATCATCATCATTAACATCATCAGCATGCTCAACAAAATTTCGCAAACAAATGTCATAAATCGAATTCATTTCCACCTCAAAACCTTTCCAGTCAGATAAATATCAGTTAATAATGTTAACTAGAAAATCCTTCATTGATTTGCATTAAAAAAATACCCTTTTAATAAACCGAATAATGAGATGCTCACTAGCGACTTGCCCTATTCAGGCAGGTAGCTACCTGGGGTTCTAGTGAGAAATCGTGACCAGTAGGGTGCAGCAGGTCGGGTGTGAGGACAAATACTCGCCGAAGACATTGGCTAGGGGTCGCGCTATGTCGTGAATTGGCAGAAGTTAGAATTCATGGGCCAGTGAATCGGGTCCCAGTGGCTTAATGGTATACGAGCTCGCCTTGTAACCAGAAGGTCCTGGGTTCTAGCCCTGGCGGTGTGTGCGTACTGCAGAAGAGTCCCAAACTAGGACGAAACAGCCATCCAGTACTCCCAGGTTTTCCAATGGTTCTCTAACTAATGTCAGCTCATGATGAAAATCCTGTAACCAATCAAATCCCTACAAACCAACACTTGAAAACCGAATAATAATAAAAATATTAAATATGCTTTAGGCTAGTTTTATTCCTGAACTGAAGCATCGTCATTTTTTCAATGTCATATGGGCGCAGCAGACCACTTTAATGAATTTCTTGCTTCTTTTGCAGAAGAATGATATTTAAACTGATCACGTCTTATTTTTATTCTATAAGCTTCACATATTCTGATAATTAACGACTACTTGTGTTGATTCAAGAATGTTGACGCATTTTGACTTGGTCTTAAAGTAGGTCTATCACCTGCCTTTTGCCAATTACCATAGGTATCAGTGTGAGTATAAAAGGTTCGACAGTGCCCATTAATTCAGTCTGAAGATTGTTATTTTCATTCCGGTCGGGTCGTGACCTGGACATAGGGCTTCAACAATCACATCACCATTTGATTGTGTTCTCAGCTGTCCTTTGTTAACCTACTCTATGATTGCCTATATGCTCTTATCTTCACCTCACATAATCTTTATGACAAGCGCGCCCAACTTATCGTTTCCTGTTTGGGTTCCACTAGAGGGCAAAGCACGTGATATCACTCAACGGTCTCATCAGCGTGTATCCGATCCATATTCTTTTTCTTATGCATATTTGTTGGGCAGTGGAGACGCACGGCTGAAGCCCTATGTTCTTCTAGGAATTAAAGGAAACAATAATAATAATACATTGCTCATTGCCTAGTAAAGTTCCTTGTTAGTAATTCTTTCTGGCTACCTGATATTCACTGTGGATCAAAAACATCCATCTGTTAATAAAATTCTGGCACCCGTTGAAAATGCTTTTTGTGGCACTAACTTGACATTAGTGTTGAAACTCCGAATCTTGGTCTTCATGTTAAGTGCAGAAGACTTCCAAACTAATTTATGAGTATTGAAGGTTTGTCTTGTATTCCCGTTCCTGGCTTTGGTGTCCTCATCTATGCCGTCTGTAGTTGAAACAATGATGCCTAAACAAGTGAAAGAAGTGACTTCCTTAAGATTTCCCCAGTTGATGATGACTGGTGCTTGTTGTTACTGTTTAATGGGCATCTTCATCACCACTTTCTTCTCTTTGTTCACTTGAAGTCCTCCTCTTTGCTGTGTGTGCCTCCACTGGCAACTTGGTGGTTTTCACCTATAGATCTTTGAATTTATGTAAAATTAGACAGATTTTAAATATATTTCTAAGTGAAAACATTTTCATAATTACTGGAAATAGAACATTTCAAAAAATTATGACAAATCATCTGACAGTTACTCTGAATTAAGTATGAATGCGATATGCTTTAAGCTTCATAACCAAAATATTAAAAAATCAGCATTGAATTAGAACAATATTTTTGTATACTAGCTATCTGCAATACTGTCTTATTGTAAGGAAGTGCTTTTTGTTAACTGATTTTGTCCCTATGGATTCTTGAAATCCCAAGACAAGACTACCACTCACTTGACAGTCTGTAACAGGAAAATTTCTGCAAAATAAATAACTGAAATATAAATAATCTAGATACTTAGTCACAATTTTCGGTCTCATTCTCTCATACTGTCTTGTTTATGAGGTTGAATTTCTTTCCATGTATCCCTGGTCTACCAGAGGTAATAGAAGAAACTAATGGGGCATAAATGACGTCATCAAAGCCAATTCCCCCTAGTCTGAATACTGTCAAACTGATTTTTAGTATGGTTGAAAAACAGTTCAGTATTCAGACCAGCTTGAAGCGGTAGGTATTACTGGTCAGCAGCGGTAGTTTTTAAACACATACCTACCAGGAGAAAATAGTATCTTTCCAACTTAAAATCGTCGTATAGTAAATATTCCTTAGCAAATATTTCGTTGAGTCTGTTTCCTGATATTTCATAAACATATTGGATTGAAACAACTGTCTTGTAATATTTGAAAAACTTCGACATGGCGGATAACCAAATGATAATTAGCACTATTATTGGAAGAAATCACCTGTAAGAAACTAATTATTTGTGTTTCCATCCCACGCCCTTGTGATCAACGCTTGATCAATTCTTTGTTGTTTTTATAGGTTGCCGTAACGAGTTAATTAATTATTACTAAAGACTCACATTCAATGAAGGCGGGAAATGTGACACCTAGAGTTTACAGATATGAGACTATTTTAGGTCACTCTTCAGTAGTTTTTATGAAGTCTGAAAACTGTATCCTATCTGTTTTACTCTGTACACTATGAAATCCAAAATTGGTAGATAATACCGCCAGCTCACATCGTTGCTTTCAAGGTTTAATCAGTGGTAATACAGAATATTCTTTCGAACAAACACTCCTGTTTGCTTAAACAGTTTGACTTTCAGAGATGCATCATTCCAAGCAAACTGCCAACAAGTTCAGTACTAAATAAGTGGGAACAATAGCGAATTTAAGATGATGGGCCTCATTTACCAGTATCTATCAATATGACGATGACATTCCTGCTATAAGGCATGTTTAATTTTGAGTTGGTGATGATGCACTCTCTGCTTTGCATGGTATGATTGTCTTTTATTAATGCTATAGAAATATCATTCATTTATGGATTTTCAATCACGGTTTTAGTCTGTGTTTTGAATGCATAACATTTGTAGTCCATAGCAATGTTAATATATAAACTAACGGCGACCTGTTTAAATGACTGAGCTACCTAATTTTTCATAGACGATAGTGTGTCGAATTTACTCAGTTATACTTTGTTGTAACCACCTATTTACGTCCTTGGGGAACAATCTGTACTCCCGTGCATGTTTGAATAGCTTCTAACACACCGCCTGGCCTGTTTTTAAGGGACATATACGTCGGGGGTCGTAGCATGTCGTAAGTAGAGAGGAACTTCGCCGAAATATGTACTGTAAATCACTGTTTTATTTGAAGATTCTGTATAAGTCGTATATTGAACTAAACTAAAAATTATGTACTGCACACTGTACCGAATAAAGCTATTGTGATTATGATTACACATTTTTCTACTTGCTTTTTATACTTATGAAATAGATATTCGGTGCAATGTTAAATACACATCCTTATCCAAGTGGTGGTCGATTTTATGGAAATGGTTCAACTTTTGTTTTCCGATGGATCAATTCAGATGAACAAGGAAAAACACTTGATAGAGCTGACTCATCAACAGTTCCAGTCAATAAAGACAATGAAACTAATCAAAAAGATGTGAACTCTGTATCTACATCATCACTTCGTGATCTTGGTTGTGATGTTCAGTCATCCTTTGGTATACAAACTGAAACTGTAACCGACGAACTAGCTCATTTATTTTTCCTTGATAGCACTGATGCTTTGGACTCAGCCAATGAACAAATTTTTCAGGCAAGTTAACTATGATCAACTCTAACAGTCATTCACTTTTACAGTAGTTGAATTATCACTTTGATTACAAAAGGGGTTGAGTCTTCAGATATGTTCCTAAGGCGAGTAGGTTTGGATTCTTAGGATTATAGATAGGCTTGGCTGATCAGAGTGAATGTCTTACTCATGGACTTCTGTCACCTCTACAAAACTGTTAGCTGAACTGGTTAGCATGCAGTGATTGTCTTGTTAATTAGTTTTCGCGGCTTTCAAAGACTTCTATTAATTAATATGTCTTACTTAAACCTAGATGGTTTACCATTATTTATTTATTTCCCTTAATTTTACTGATGTACACTTTCAAAGTGTTGGGTATATACTTTAGTTTAAACTAGAAAACTACTCAATTTCAAAAGGAGTTTATATATAGTAGCTTATCTAAGGACTTAAAACGCCAGAATAAAATTTATATTCCTTCAGAAATAGTTTATTGTGGAAAGTTCAGAATTATTAGGATGTTGAAAAATTGTTACAAAATCTCAATCAGGCTTACTGTCTTCATAGTTCACTTATTTGAGAATTATGAAATGCATACGTTTCTGACACTTCAAAGTTAACCTTTCGAACGGAACGCGAACCCGCCTTTTACCCATAGTCAAAGCTATGGGAAACCGAGAGAACAATCCTAGTATTTGCAAACAGAAGAAGTTTGCCCTAACTTTGTCCCTCCATTGGTTTAGGTAAATTCTAATTAAAAACCCTTCCACCCTTTCTTATTTTCCATTTCTTCCGTACTTTCATAGTATTTATCTAAATTCTGATTATCTGTCCATCTCATCTTTAGTATAACACAACTTTTAAGATTTGGCTTAATTATTTATTTACTAAATTGTTCACATATTCACACAGTACCTACCCTCGTTATTCTTATCACCACCTGCATAAGCCTTTTAACCGTTATTTTTGTTATCATTATAATCATCGTTATTACTGACTTTCAAAACATTTAATACATTATCATTATTATTGTTAGTTGATTCACAAACTCACCGTCATTGGTTAAATGTTTGATATATAAAGCTATGTGAATTAAAGTAAACCCTGAAGAAGATCTAATTGGAAAAAATGTTGTTTGCTTATGTGTCATGTTCTAACTTGTTATATTTTCAGACTTAAGAATATGCAGAAATTTCAATTAATTCTAAGTGTTCGATTTTTTCATGAACCGAAATCAGCTTGGGAATCATTAAAAACCAAGGTGCACTGGACAGTTGCTCCGTCCTAGGTTGAAACGTTTTTGCACACTTTTGCACACTCATAAACCCACCAAACACTGAACCCAGAACCTTCGGGTTATGAGGCCATTCCGTTGACCATTCTGCCACTGAATCTGAATCCAGTGGACTGCGATATAGCGCTACCGCCAACCAATGTCGTCAATGACCAACTCCGCCGTAACATAGTAGATTCTACTGGTCACAAATTCTCAATATAGAACTCCAAGACCAGTAGCCATTAATGAACTGGAGATTGAAATAATTATATTTACGCTTTTATAGGTATTTGAAATGATTGTAATATAGATTTCGTCACATAGTTTAAAGGTCATAGGTTTGATCCTATGCGGGATCTTAAGTAAGCACTGCTGAATGATCCCAAAAAAGGACGAAGACGATGTCCAGTGCTCCTTAGTTTTCAACTGTTCTCTAACTGATATTGGTTCGTGACGAAATCTACATTGGAACATTTTTATATTTACAGTCTTATTATTTTTCGAGTTTGATGACAGATCGATATCGGTAAGAGAACCACTGAATACAGGGGAGTACTGGACAACTGTTTCATCCTACTTTGCGACTCATAGATAGTACACACATACCAGGGTTAAAACCTAGGTTCTTTCAGTTACAAGGGAAGCTCGTATACCCTTCAGCCACTTGGACCCGACTCAATGGCCGATGAATTCTAACTTCTACCAATTCGTCATTTTAGCGTGACCACCAGCTAATGTCATCGGCGAGTATTTGTCCTCATTCCTGACCGCATGAAACTCACTGGTCGTGACTTCGCACTGCAGTCAACTTCGTCATGCGAGCATTAGATTATTTTTCAAGAGTTAATTTGTAGAGATTTGAATTGCTTCAAGTTTCATCATGGATTGATATCAGCTGCAGGATGAAAGTGCCTGGAGTTCTAGTGGCCAGTGGGTTCCAAATCAAATCCCTACAAACAAACTTTTATTACTTTTATTAGCATTTTCATTGAAAATTAACCTGACTCAATTTCACTTAATATTCTTTTATATCATTCCATTTATTTTAGAAATTTGTATGGAGCGGTAAGAATTCCTATTTCATTAATGGTGGTTATGATTCCCTTACAATAGGATGCTCTCAGTAAGTTCCTTCTTTTTACTGCTTACATTTCTTTCTGAAATTCTTATTTATCTTACTAGATTAATCATTTCCCTTCATCTTTACTAGTTGAACGACATTCAATGATTCAATTTCCGGAATGATTGTCTTTATCAATTATTTTGATTATTTTTTTCTTACTAGTTATATTTTATGCGTTTTTGTAGAAAGTAGTAATCAAAATAAATTTGCTTAGTTGGATAAAGCGGGCTAAATAATTCGATACTCTATTTTCAAACCAGTAGGTAACTATTAGTAACGAAGAAAAATAATTAGCAAAAGTATGATTGGTTAAAATGTGATAGGTCAAAATATAAAATCTTCGTCCTATTGGCTAATAAAGTTATTCCAACTCACATGACATTAATGTTACAGCAGACATTTATTTATCAAACCCTAATTGAATTCTGTCACCTGATACTTCTTCCACTTGAGAAGCGATTTTCGTGTAGGATTCTGCATGCATATTTACGGATAAGTTTTCGGTACAGTACACTTATTAGTGCATTAGGGAACTAAGGATGAATAGTTCTCACAGTGAGCACGCTGTAGAAAGATGAAAGTGTGTTTTAGTTTGTTTCATTCTAAACTGCCTTCAAGACATCATGTCCACAATTCAATATCAAATTATAGTTCGATCACGATAAACAGCTTCGCTTCCTTTAGGTTAATAATTCTGTTTCATAAATGAATGACAGATTTTGGTCAGCAGACACTGGTCTAGATGGTCAGGATTGAACGATCACCTCTAATATTTCAGAGAGCTTGAGTTGATTTCTTTGACAGTACTATTTTTAGTAAATCTCTTTCAACAATGAGATCTCTAGATTTTACCTTGTACGTTTTTATCCAAAAACGTTAAGACCTATTCAATTTCTTGGCGAAGTTTGACTTTATACTCCCAACAGGCGCGAACGCGCCGATGACTTTGGAGCACTCAGTCAGAGCAAGGCGATGAGACCAGGTAAATAACACTGTGTTTATCAAAAAAGTAATGTGTGATGATACTTAACAGGATATCCGCTTAGTTATAGGTTAGTTTAGAGGTAAACTGAAGTTACTGTTAGGATGAAAACATGTTAGGCTTTATTATTATTCCCTTGGGTTCCGAATAGAACATGGGACTTCAACATCTCGTCTCCATTTTATCCTGTTCTCTCTCTCTGTTTAGCTAATCCCACGATTGACCATAAACTTCAATTTCCTCCGCACATGATTTCTGCCATTTCACTCTAGGAATCAACAACGGGAAACTTACGGAATCCTTCGAAGTGAAGACAGGAGTAAGACAAGGCTGCCTACTATCGCCAATGATTTTCCTGATTGAGGGTGGCAGATTGGATAATGCGACAGATAGCGGGCAATGAGGAAACAGGTATAAAATGGACTCACACAAAAAACTTGGAGGATCTGGACTTCGCCGACGATATATGTCTGATTTCCCACAAACTGGAAGATGTGCAAGTGAAAAGCAACAAGTTGGCAGAAAAAGCATCAAAGATAGGACTTCAGGTAATTATAGAGAAAACAGGGGTGATGATGATTCCTGGACAAGAACAACAATAACAGACAACGATCAGCATAAATGGGAGGAGCCTGAAGGAAACAACCTCTTTCACCTACCTGGGAAGCATCGTTTCAACTACAGGCGGAATTGACGAAGATATCAAAGCAAGAATCGGAAAAGCAAGACAAGCTTTCACTACTCTCAAGTCTGTGTGGAGGTCAACAACACTCAGCATCAAAAATAAGATCCGCAATTTCAACTCCAATGTGAAGTCAGTGCTACTATACGAAGGGATCAGAGACTTGCACTGCGCGTCATAATGAGCATCTCAAACAAACTACAGACCTTCATTAACAGTTGTCTTCGCTCAATACTCAAGATCAGATGGCCAGAAAAGATCATCAACAGAGATTTCTGGGAGCGAATTAACCCACCAGGAACTAATTGTGAAACAAATAGGCAGGAAGAAATGGAGATGGATTGGCTGATCATACTCTGAGGAAACCATCAAGTGACATCACTAGACAAGCCATTGCTCGAGTGGAACCCGAAAGGGAAGCGGCGAGTTGGTGGTCAGTGTGAGGGTGACTTGGAGGAGGTCATGTGAAGAGGAGATGGAAACGTGTGGATAGACTTGGAGCCAGGTGAAGACTCTAGCAGAGAACAGAACGCAATTGAGACGCACGGCTGCAGCCCTATGTTCCTGTAGGAATTAAAGGATACAATAATAATTATAATAATACTCTAGGATACCCAGCTCTTTGTTTTCCATTCGGGTTGCACTGGAGGTTCTGTCCGGTATGCGATGTCATTCAATGATCTTCTCAGCATGTGTCCAATGTATCTTCAGTTCCTTCTATATGTACTTTAGACAGTAGTTTGTTGGTTCGTTCGTTCCCAGAGTTCTCTGTTGCTAAATCTTTCCGACTGTCCATCAAATTATCATTATGGAACGAAGGCGTCTGCTGATGGAAGTCCTCAACAGGCTATTAGAAATGCTTTCCTTGATGCATCAAGCCTCTGAACCATACAGTGTAGCAGATTTTCACAATGATTTTAAATTAATGAAGGTCTTTCTTGCTTTTCTAATCCTGCCTGCCTTTGACATTCCCATCCGTGCCACCTGTAATTGAAACGATGCTGCCCACATAAGTTGCTTGAAGTGACCTCCAAATTCTTTTCGTTGATAATGATTGGCGCTTGTTGTTCTTTGTTGGTTATCTTCACCACCTCTGTCTTCTTTATGTACACTTGAATTACTATTTTTTTCTGCTTGCCCCCCCCCCGGGGGCAACTTGTTGTTCTTCACATGTAAATCTTCGAATTTGTGTGACATAAGATGTAAATCATCTGAGAAGTTCAAATTTTCTGATGTCTTCTTGTTGGTCGGGATTATTCCTGTTTTCTCAATCCCCACAGTCTGCTGCATGATCCAGTCAACCACAATCAAGTTTAGGTTCACGTTGGTGGCACAGTGGTTAGGACTCTCGCCGACCATGCACATGGTCCGGGGTTAAATGCCCTGCCGACGCACACCCGATATCTATGATTGGCCTGTAAATTTGGCCTACCGATATCCATGCTGAAAATTCCATACTTGTACTGAAAATACGGTGTGGCATCAAGCTGTAATAAAAAATAAAAATAATCTAACTGGGGAAATTTTTGGAGTTGATTAGGGAGAGATTAGGGTTACAGTTGAGTTAGGGGACCAGATTTACTTTTTAGTGCGATTATCGTTTCCAGGGTCATTGGTGATTCTGCACCTTTTGGGTATCTAAAGTTGAACTTTGCGGACGTCTTTTCATTTACTTATTCATCCTCACATTTGTGATTTAGTTATAAAAGGAAAATAAATTGACAATTCCAGCTAAACCGTGTACTTTTTTCATGACTCAAAGAGACAGATGGAGACAAGAAACAATTCGACAGCATATTTATTTGAAAGTTTTTTTAAGCATACGTGAAGATATAGATCATCACCGCATATACTTCAGTTACAATCTGTGAAGTACACATTGGAATCTCCTCTATTCTAATTGATTTCGATCATTTAATTAGTTTGACTATGTGGTTCAGAGGCCTTGTGAGTGCGTCACCAAAAGTATTTCCAAACGGATTCAGATATTTATCAACAGATGCCTTCGCTCCATGCTGAAGATCGGACGGTCAAAAAGGATAAACAACAAGGAACTCTGAGATCGAACCAACTAAGAATCTACTCCTCAGCAAATATACCGAAGAAAATGGAGAAGGACTAAACACACGCTGATGAGACCGTCGAGTGACACTACGCACCAGGCCTTTGAGAGGTGCTGGAATAGGAAACAGCGGGTTAGCCTTGTGTCCGGAGGTGGCATGGAGGAAATCGGGTGAGGAGGAGAAGAGAGCATTTTGATTTGACAGTAGTAACTAGTGTGATGTGTCTAGTCCTCTCTTTGGTGCAGACTGAATTCTATCAGTCAGGTTTCTAATGTGGCCACTATTCTAGGTAGCTCACCATCACAGTGCACATTCATTTGATAATATTAGATGGTTGAAGGCAATCGGCAGGAAGCCTTGGACCTAGGTTTCGTGCTAGTTGGCACTCAGCAGTCAGTAAGGCGTGTCTGCAACCTTGGAGAAACTCATATCCCTTCTGAGATTCGAACCCGCGTCACCCAGTGCTGCAGTCAGAGACACATCACACTAGTTACTAGTGTCAAATCAAAATAGCCACTACAGTCCTACAGGAGGTCAATCGCGAGCCCGAATAACTCGGTGGTAACGTCTCTGACTGCAACACTGGGTGACGCGGGTTCGAATCTCAGAAAGGACATGAGTTCCATCAAGGTTGCAGTGTCAACTAGCACGAAACCTAGGTCGAGGGCTTCTGCCGATTGCCTCCAACTATCTAAGAAGAGAGTTTATTGAATAATCGGGGTAGGGCATCTAAAAATGAGAATAGGAGATAATGAAGATGTTCTGTTGAAGCCTTGGGTTCCGAATAGAAGCCAAGTGAACAATAATAATAATAATCTTAGAGAATGTACCTGGTTAATAACGTTGTACATAAACTTATTGATTTCCCATATATATAATATATATATATATAAATTTGTACTCTTTTGCTCCCTACATTCTAGAGGTCATTCTGCGATTCATCTTGACGATGTACTATTACATGGACGTAGTGAAAGTTGTGAAACATTTGATAATCCACAGTTAACCTCATCACCTGACTTTGTTATTACAACTCTTGAAATATGGTCATTTATTTAAACGTGTACACTAAAATAAAAATAAAAATTGATTAATACATAATATATATAAAAATAAAAATAATCACAAGGCGAGTGAAAGAGAGAGAGAGAAAGAGTCTAGTTTATTCATTTTCCATTATTTTTCATTATCTTCTTAGTAATCCCTATAACGATATCTCATTATTATTAATATGATTATGATTACTAACATTATTTTCTATCATGTTTTGTAAGACTGATTACAAAATAACTCTAAGAGTAATAGAAGTGTAAGTCTTTTGTTTCAGTTCAACAATAATCGTAATAATACATATAAACATACATGCATACAACTTCTACCTGTGTTAATATCACCATTTCCAAATAAGATATCCTGATTATCGATTAATTTATCATGCTTTCTATTCTTCTTCATTCTGATTCCATTATTCCAGTGTGTACGTACAACAGATTTCTACTTATTTTGACTTTTCTATTTAATTTACTAGCCTACTTATCTACTCCTTTATATATATATTCATGTTCAGTAATTTCGAGAAGTCATGTGTCATTATTATTGTTATATTTTGGTTACTTTTTCCGTTTTCACTTCTTTCTTCCATCTTAGTATTTAGATTTTTTTAGATTTCTAACAAATATCACACACACATGCACACACACACACACTCACACACCTAAAAAATAACTCAACTGTTCACTTTCTTCAGCCTAGTCATCTGTACTCATCAGAGAAATTGTGTGTACTACAGCATTAATAATTTCAAGTATTATTTATTTATTTATTTATTTATGTAAACATTATGCTCATTTATCTGTCCCGCCTCATTTGACAGGTGATCGATTGATTGATTGGTTGGTTTGTTTGGTTGATTGGTTGTCTCTTTTTCTATCTTTCTATTTTGATTGGTTGTTAAAAAAATGAATTACTGATGACAGAGTTACCTATCTATCTATAATGTGCATATATGTGGGTAATAAATAATAACAAAATTGTTATTATCACCGTTAAAACAAAATGTAGTGCTATTTCCATATCTATGGTTGCAGTGCATTTAGATTATTATTATTTCAAAGTGAACCAGTGTTATATTTATTTATCTATTTATTTACTTATTTATTTATTTATTGTATTGTGCAATTGATTCATAATGATTTTAGCACTATCAGTAATAATAATAATAATTATTATTATAAGACAGAAAACAAACAAAATCTGTCTTTTTTTCCTCACTTTTCGAAAAATATCATAGTCACTAATCTACCTAAAGCCTAAAACAGTAAACTGCTCTTAAACAGAGAAATAAATTGTAAGATGGTTGGAGACAGTCATCAGCAAGCTCTATCTAGACCTGGATTTCGTGCTTCTTGAACACTCAACAGTCAACAAGGCGTATCTGTAGCCTTTAAGGAACTCATGTACCTCCTGAGATTCGAAATTGGGTTACTCAGTCCTGCAGATAGAGAGATTACCGCTCAGCTATTCAAGTTCCCGATTGACCTCTTGTAGGACTCTAAAGAATTCTTTGACTGAACACTGGATACTAACTAATGTCATGTGTCTAGACCTGTCAGTCAAGTTTTCAATTTAGCCACCATGTGAAATGGCTCGTCGACAGGAGCTATTCCGAATCAAACCTATGGTTGTTGCCGTAATATATCAGACATTTACAAATTAGAATAAAGCATTAAGAAGACAAATTTCGCGAGATAATATCATTTCGTAGTTTCTTTACAACAGCTTTACAGCTAACATGGTTAACAATAATAAAATAAAGTTCATGGCAATTACTCAGTTGAATAAAAAACAAAAGTACATACTAATGACCAATCATATTTAGATAGGCCATGTTGTCCATGGTAGGCGAAGATTGAAGTCTATTGTTTTTTGTACACACAGTTTAGGCTGTATGTGATCAATCCAAAGTGCTTCCATCACCTTCAATAACCTTGAATCAGAGTTATGTGAAATAATTGTGAAACAGTCATTAATATCGATTTTGTGACCTAACATTGATAAGTGTTTTGCAATGGATGATGCTGGATTTCTATTCAGATTAATCGCGTTGGGATTTCCTGTATGATTTAGTAGCCATTTTGGAACATGTTCTTTTCGACGACATTGGAACATTCTGTGGGTTCTACCTATATAGGTGTCACCGCAACTGCAGGGGAACTTGTAAATACAGTTTCAAGTAGAGTCCACAGAATTTCCTCCTTTAATCGTAGGTACAGGGATCGAAAATGTTCGGCAAATGAGAAAAAGAGATGCAGCGTAGAATGTGCGTTAGATGGCTTACCGAAGTTTTTGAGCTGTCAACTTAATAATCTGGTCGCCCTTGAATGGTAGGTTAATAAAGATAGCTTTCTTTGGTACAGCAGCTGTCTTTTCGAGATGTGGTTTTTCTTTACTGTGACAAGTGGTAAAGTTCTCCGGATGACCATTAGCTAATAAAACAGATTACACCAAACCGGGATTTCCTCTGAAAAACCACAAAAGGTGACATAATAGATGGCATCAAAATGACAAATAAGAGTACTAATGGATTTATACTACTTACAGATATGCTGCGTATACAGCGATATTTCTTTCAGTATTTATATTACTGTTATGTTCGCTTTATCTTTACACGAATAAGGTTTACAATAATGAAAGTTTGATAGCTTCCTAGAAATTTCTTCCCAGACCCAAACTGGTAATTCCAAGAAGACATACTCATTAATATTGGAAACGTGTATTTTCAACGAGCGACTGAGAGTGAAACATAGAAATCGTATCTCGAACTTACAGTGCTACAACATTGAGTCAACTAGTCAGTGTCTATGAAAGTGGTTAAATCCGATTCAACTATAGGTAATCAATATTTCATGGAATTAGTTCCCTTGAAATATATATGAACAACAGTTTTCATCACGAACTGATATAAACTTAAAGAACCATTGGAAAACCACAGAGTACTGAACAGCTGTTTCAACCCCTGTTTTTGGCTGTTCGAACACACAGGGGTTTGAATCCGGGAAATTTGGGTTACACGGTGAGCTCCTGGACCATTCAACTACTATGACCAATGGGATGGCCCATAAATTCCAACTCCTGCGAATTCGTGATATATCGCAACCTCCACCCAAAATCCTCGGTTAATAATTGTTCTCTCACCTGACTTGGTGAGCAAGTACTGCTGAGGAGTCTCAAAATTAGACATAAAAGATGTTCAGTACTCTATGGTTTTCCTGTGGTCCTCTAACTGATGTCGGCTCGTGATCAAACGTGTAACCAATCGAACTGCTGTTAATCAATACTTGATAAATTCAAATAGTGCAATAAAGACTTCTTTTGTAGAATAAGATGAAGATAATTTTTTTCATAGAATTTTCATCAGCTGCGTACAATCTGAATAACAAACTATATATATAATCAGTGATTGTGAAATAATCTAAACATACTTTCATTTAATAGCCAGTTCATTTTATAAAAGGGAAATAATGTTCCGAAAATGAGACGAGATACAAACTATGCGGGAAGTTAGAGTAATCACTTATGACTAAAATAGAGACAATATGCTAGACAAAGAAGAATGCTCTGAAATTCAAGGGTAGTTCACGCATAACTGGAAACGCCTATAAAGTCATATGCAAAGTTATTTAACTGAAATGAAAGAGATTAAAAATAGCAAGGGTATTAAGAATTAGTAAGTAAGCAGATGAATGCAATTTTTGAGTTACGTCATAAAAATGGAGTGAAATTTCGAAAAGTCAAGGTAAAAGAATCTGTGCTTACCAAATTAGTAACAGTAGTTAGTACCAGTCTCTTTTCGTACACATAATTCAAGTTTAGCTCTTCAGATGGTCACAGCTTTAGTAGTTCGAAGTAGATATGAAATGCTTCTTCTCTATACCACCTGAATAGATTCTTTTATGTTGATCCAGTGCCTTATATCAGCCAAGTGCCTAGCTGTAGCGCTGTTAAGTGATGTTGGACCCTTAAAACGTTGACACTTGTGCTCATGTTCAATAATCCTCGTAGAAAAATGTCTCTCCATTCCTCCTACATACTTGCTACTGCATGTACACGTAAATTCAAAAACTCAGTTGGAGTTGATGAGTGCCGGGGATCGAGATAGTTTGAACTATGTAAACCAAGAGGTTGTTTTATACAGGAAGACAAGTTCGGTATTGCGTCTTTTATGTCTCAGCGGTCATTGTCGAACCTCTGAAGCAGTATTCCTGCATGATCAGTATCATCATATTCAAAAAATGGATCATCTGCATACCTTGAATAAAACGTACTTGCTGTGATTGGTTATATATATCAATTAACACTTGGAAACCTCTTTGTATTCTTACAAAACTACAACTGGATAGTATTTTCTAGGCTTGATTTTAATTTGTGATGTTGGACAGTTATTTAAAGGCACTGAAAGAAACCTCCCCATTTTCAAAACCTATCGCTTAAACACTTGCTAACTATCAAGCTAATACTGTCATAGTTCTGAAGAGTACATCACTTACAATATCGTAAGAGGGAACTAACGAATCTCCGGGATTGTAGTAATCCTTGTAACAATCGAAAATTTAAAAGCTCTAAGTATATTTCATTACACTTCATTATCACTCAGCAGCGCCTTCCAGTTAACAACTACGGTTTTAGGGTCTTGCTTGCTTTTCTGAAATCCTATTATACATTATGTACGCTACCAAAACTCTTAAAACCATTATAATTTCTCGACGCATTTGGTCTTCTTTTATTACGGAAACATTTACTCCTTCAAGTTTATCATGTTCTGCAGGTATCGCACTAGTAGTGGTTGTCAGCCATTTCAATCTAGTGTGAAACAATTTTATGTACCTAATAAGAATTATTGTACCACAACCATTACTCAATATTATTTTACTGAAAAACTCTTAGATTTTCAGTTTCTCCTTTATATTGTGAACAATAAAAATAGTCTTACGTTTTACTTATTTCAGCAATTTGGGGAAAAAGCAACTCAAAAATCCTGTGAGACGCAGAACTTGACTTTT